GAGTTATATGGTATATGAAAACGTCTTGTATGTGCAGTATGACAAATATCAATGTTTTTTCATCTGTTCATGTTTATGTTATTGTCCTCAGGATGCTTCAGTGTCGTGTGTTTCCACTAGATGGACCCATCGTCTTGAAGAAGCACTACAAAAGTTACATTTTAATATGCTGTGATGTCCTTTTGTTTTATTTTCATGCCGTTAATATTGTATCTCCTTATTTGGATTTACAGTGTTTGTTAAATGTCAAGAAAACCTACTGGATTGTTTTGTATTTTTGGAATTCAATTAAAAAGTAAAACAAGCATTCCTTCATATAAAGTCACTGATCAGAACCTGCGAGACAGGACTGAGGAATACAATCAAACATTAGTTCCTTCATGTATATGCTTTAACCGAACATAACAAGTACATCCAGTTTTTCACAACCAACTCTGAATGTTGTCTGAAAGTTAAAAACAAAGAGTTACATGATTTACAAGAGTTCTTTTTTATAACTGATGATCAACGCCAAAAAACAACAACAACTGACTCAACATTGCAAAACAACAAAGCATGAAAAATTATTTATATAATCACCATATATGCAAACATAACTGTGAAAAATTGTAATTATTTGTGAAATGTACTACAGGGTTTCTGCATGTTATATAAAGGTAAATGTAAGACTTTTTAAAGACCAGTTAAAGAATTAAAGGACACAAAACATCAATATGTTCTCTAGTTGTAGCAACACTTCAAAACTTCAAACAAGTGTTTTTTTTAGAATGATTGAGCTACTATTAGTTTTTATTACTGTTTTGAATTCATTTTTATTTTTATATTGTCTGTTTTCATTTAAATTTCAAAGGTTTAGTAATTTTTTAGTTTTTTTATTAGTTTATTTTAAATATGTCTGCATAGTTTTTTTAAATAATTGTTTCAGTTCCTTTTTAAAAAATCTAATTTTGTAATAATTGATTTGGCTGCTTCTTGCACGTTTTAAATGTATTATGTGTTATGGTGAAATGCAAAATACATGGCGTGACTGATGTGATGCAGTGGATCTGTCGATGTTTGGATGATTTGGGGATTGATCTGATGCATCAGGTGTTATCAAACTCTGAAACTGTCCGTCACTCTCCAATCATCTCTTTATTAGAAAGTGGATGCTAAATATGTCTCTTCTCATAGACGTGTCTGTCTGATTAGGACGTCTCACCTCCATGTCTGACGTCTGATCGGCTCATTATGTTGGTTTGTCGTCATCCAGCTGAAAAACCTGACATTGTTAAACCCGTCCAGACCCGAGACTTTCACACGATTGCGCTCTCACACCTCTTGTTTGATCGCTCTTACTCATTTCTCCTCCTCAGCTTAGAAACTAACAACAAGCCTCAGAGTAACAATGCAGGAAACTTTTCTCCTCGCTCAAATTGGCTTCCAGTAAATTAATTCCTCTGGTTTGGATATAAGCTCCAAATGAGAAGCCAACGAACCCTTGGTGGTCCGACATCTGATCGCTGGTATGTCATTACAAACTACATCATAGCTGTGGAGAATAACAATTACTCTGACCCTAAAAGCACTTATGAACTTCTCTGGTCCCTTGTCTTTCTCCAGCCATCTGTGGCATGGAGCATGTTAGCTCCTCTGATGATAATACAACTCCACTACAACTCTTATTTTCAATCAATAAGATGGCATAAGGAGAATCTAACTGGTCCCAGGACAGAGCCTTGCAGGATTCCACCGTGCCTCCATCGAGCGAATCAATCCGCCTGCGCTTTGATAGGCCTGCGGGGAGAACATGACATTTTGCCATGCAATTGTTTTGTGGTTATGGCTGCACGATGTGTTTATTCATTTCAAGAGAATGAGAAGAGGTCGTCTCTTAAAAGCCCTTCAGATGCTCACAGCAGAGTCACGCATGAGCTGAAGATACTCTTTGAAAATGTGTGCTTATTTTCTCTTGTTTTGTTCGGTTGGAGCTCTCTAGATGTCTCAATGGACTGTTTGCACACTGTAAAAAATATTAGATTTATGGTAAAATACTGGGAATGTCCTTTTACTGCTTTTAGATGGTGCACTCTTAAAAAAAAATAAAGCTTCTTTATTGGCTTTGATGGACGAACTTTTAACATCCATGGAATCTTTCCATTGCACAAGGCTCTTAATAGTGGAAAAGGGTTCTTTATGGTTATTTAAAGAACTGATCATTGAAAGGTTCTTTGAAGAAGCAAAAATTGTTCTTCTATGGCAGGGGTGTCCAAACTCGGTCCTGGAGGGACGGTGTACTGCAGAGTTTAGCTCTAACTGGCCTCAACACACCTGCCTTCAAGGTTCTAGTATGCCTATAAGAGCTTGATTAGCTGGTTCAGGTGTGTTTAATTGGGGTTGGAACTAAACTCTTCAGGACACCGGCCCTCCAGGACCGAGTTTGGACACCCCTGTTCTATGGCATCACTGCGAAAACACATTTTTGGAACATTTGGAGGAGTGTAATTCATAGCTTTCACTAAGTTGCAATAACCATGAATCTGACATTAGTTTACAGTACAATTACATGCATGCAATGTTAACTCATTTGCAGTTTTTTGTCTTAAAATGCCGTGCTGGGTAGTAACTGATTACATGTAATCTGGATTACATAATCAGATTCCAAAAATTAAGTAGTAGTAATTGGATTATATTACATTTTAAAGTGCTCACAATCAGATTACAGTTACTGTTTTTGGATTACATGATTACATATACACAGTGCTGGGTAGGTGACTTGCAAATTTGAGTCTGTTACTGATTACATATTACATGATGAAAATTGTAGTCAGTAATGTAATCTAGATTCCTCATTTTAGGTAATGTATTCTGACTACTTACACATTACTTTTAGATGACTTTTGACCTAACTTGTTTATAGATTTAAATGGGATTATTGTAATAGAAAATAAATAAATAAATAAATAAATAAAATATGACCATTAACTGACATCAGAGAGCATGCAAATGTGTTTGTGTTCAAATGTGTTCAAAATTATTTGAAATATTAATTTTCTTGACACTTCTTGACTTTTTTTACAGTGTAATATCACCATACTTTCCCAGTTGATTGATTACGTTAAGAATTGCCAGCATTTTCTGTATTACAAGTTTTCTGACATGTTTAAATATGCAACTGAGATGCTTATTAAATATGTATAATCTAATATGCATTATTTAAATGTGCATTGTCTGCATTACTTTTAGATGACTTTTGACCTAACTTGTTTATAGATTTAAATGGGATTATTGTAATAGAAAATAAATAAATAAATAAATAAAATATGACCATTAACTGACATCAGAGAGCATGCAAATGTGTTTGTGTTCAAATGTGTTCAAAATTATTTGAAATATTAATTTTCTTGACACTTCTTGACTTTTTTTACAGTGTAATATCACCATACTTTCCCAGTTGATTGATTACGTTAAGAATTGCCAGCATTTTCTGTATTACAAGTTTTCTGACATGTTTAAATATGCAACTGAGATGCTTATTAAATATGTATAATCTAATATGCATTATTTAAATGTGCATTGTCTAATTTGCATACATTTCCATCACATAAATCTGAACATTCGTTAAAGCCAGGTTCATAATTCTGGTTTAATTTTGTTGTCATATTAGAGGTTTTTCCAGAGGTCTAATCAGAAAATGCTGTCAACAGACGCATTTTCACCATGTTTTTAGAAATACTATGTTGTATAAATCAGTGTGAATGAAATATGAGCAAACCTTCAGAATATAGAGAGGAATAAAACTGTAAAGTTCAGTGTTTGTAAAAGAAAAAACTCTTTAAAGATATGGATTGGAATTGAAATCTACAGATGCAATTAGATAAAGTGCAATAAAATAAAAACTCCACTGTGTATTTTGTATGTTTTCTCTCCACTAGTCTGAAAGAAAACATGATATGGAAGCAAAATAGACCAAAATCTCAAAATTGACCAGTGCAGGAAAAAAATAGTTTACGTAACTGTGTTCATATATGTTTATATATCACAACAACATCTAATACGTTTTTATCTGCAAATAAAGAAAAACCTTTATAGTTATTGTCCACACAATCGATCCCTTTAACTCACTACAGCCTGTCTTTAATGTGCAAGTTATTAACTCTATAAATCTCTGAAAGCAGACACACGAATGAATGATGCCTTCTGAACGATGATATAATCCGATAAGATTTCAACTAATAAAACCCAATTATGAATATACCCACAATCCTCTGCTCGATGACGGTTAGGGAAAGGCCCAGGTTAACAGGTTAACCGTGACGAGTCCACACATTAGTCTAGTCTTGATCTCAGAGTGATTTGGTCAAACATGGACATCAGTGATTGATTGAGTCTGAAACAGGTGCATGTGTTATTTCTCCTCTCAGCGAGGCTGTTCTGGTTATATATAGACTCAGTCATTTCCTCTGTGCCTTCTTAATATTTTTCTCTTCCCATTCATTTTATCAAGTCAAATGTAGGACACAGATGAACGACGGGCTTTTAAATTTAGACTGAACTCCCTACAATTTAGTAGACGAGTAAACAGAATAATATACAGAAGAGTCATGTTCCCTTAGCTTCTGAGCCAAGTGGAAAGATTCACGGTTGTTGTGGGTTCAGATGTGTTTTAGGTCAGTGCAGTTGAAAGTTTTTAAGGGTTAACAGGTTAACCGTGACGAGTCCACACATTAGTCTAGTCTTGATCTCAGAGTGATTTGGTCAAACATGGACATCAGTGATTGATTGAGTCTGAAACAGGTGCATGTGTTATTTCTCCTCTCAGCGAGGCTGTACTGGTTATATATAGACTCAGTCATTTCCTCTGTGCCTTCTTAATATTTTTCTCTTCCCATTCATTTTATCAAGTCAAATGTAGGACACAGATGAACGACGGGCTTTTAAATTTAGACTGAACTCCCTACAATTTAGTAGACGAGTAAACAGAATAATATACAGAAGAGTCATGTTCCCTTAGCTTCTGAGCCAAGTGGAAAGATTCACGGTTGTTGTGGGTTCAGATGTGTTTTAGGTCAGTGCAGTTGAAAGTTTTTAAGATGCAAGACAATTTTGTGGCAACCTAAGCTGTATAGCAACTACACTGTAAAAATACTGTTTTGTTTAGTGTAGACAAAAAAATCAAAGTTAGTAAAAAGTTGTGAGAGCGTTCACTGTTAGCAAGACAAGCTTGTTTATAAAGCACACTTCATGCACAATGGTAATTTAAAGAGCTTTACAAAAAAAGATTTCAAAGTAATCATAACAGACGATTGAGAAATAAAATGAAATATAAAGCATAAAAACCGAAAGTTAAGGGGAAAATACATTCAGAATAATGTTTTAATAACTTAACAAAGAATCCTGAAAAAGAGTTATTAGAGCATGTATCTGTAATCCAGGTTGTGTGTGATCTGTAGGCACTAAGCTTGTGTTCTGACGTTATTCGGCGGGGTTCGAGGCCTCATTAAGAGAGCCGGACCTCCTCCTACTCCTCCTCCTCCTCATCTCTGCTAACGATGCTCTGGGGAGCGGATCTCGCTGCTGATTGGTCAGCTGCTCTGAGAGACCTCATCCCTCCTGCATCAGCACCAGCTCACTTCACTAGTTCCAGCGGCGCTGACTAACCTAACTAGTCCAGAGATGATGGGCAGCGCGTGTCTCTTCTGCTCTTCAGTGCTCTTCATCAGCTTCTTCTGTTCATCTGTCGGTGAGTAACTCCAGCTCAGTAACACATCACAGGAGCATTGCTCTGATTTGAGAAAGTTACTTCATCAGTTTTGTGATTCTAAAATTATGATGTAGGCTGACTTGTGCATTCCTATATTGAAAGTCGAGAATAATTTACAATTAGCCCTTAAGGATACTAAAGGAATTCATTAAAATGGATAAAATGATATTCTTATTTGATTTTCTATTGAATATATTCAGAAACTCCACTATTTTGAGCTGAATGAAGTCTCAAAATACTATTGTTTTTATCATCACAGTCTTTCATCTAACACTAGTGTCTAAGTGTCTAAAGAAATGTAAATAGATGTATAAATCTAGTTTTTCTTGCATTTTGCTTAAATCCTTTTTAAAAGATTCCCTTAAGAATTATTTGTGTGTGTGTTTGTGAGAGAGTGTGTGTGTGTGTGTGTGAGAGAGCGTGTGTGTGTGTGTGTGTGAGAGAGAGAGAATGTGTGTGTGTGTGTGTGTGAGAGAGAGAGAATGTGTGTGTGTGTGTGTGTGAGAGAGAGAGAATGTGTGTGTGTGTGTGTGTGAGAGAGAGAGAATGTGTGTGTGTGTGTGTGTGAGAGAGAGAGAATGTGTGTGTGTGTGTGTGTGAGAGAGAGAGAATGTGTGTGTGTGTGTGTGTGAGAGAGAGAGAATGTGTGTGTGTGTGTGTGTGAGAGAGAGAGAATGTGTGTGTGTGTGTGTGTGAGAGAGAGAGAATGTGTGTGTGTGTGTGTGTGAGAGAGAGAGAATGTGTGTGTGTGTGTGTGTGAGAGAGAGAGAATGTGTGTGTGTGTGTGTGTGAGAGAGAGAGAATGTGTGTGTGTGTGTGTGTGAGAGAGAGAGAATGTGTGTGTGTGTGTGTGTGAGAGAGAGAGAATGTGTGTGTGTGTGTGTGTGAGAGAGAGAGAATGTGTGTGTGTGTGTGTGTGAGAGAGAGAGAATGTGTGTGTGTGTGTGTGTGAGAGAGAGAGAATGTGTGTGTGTGTGTGTGTGAGAGAGAGAGAATGTGTGTGTGTGTGTGTGTGAGAGAGAGAGAATGTGTGTGTGTGTGTGTGTGAGAGAGAGAGAATGTGTGTGTGTGTGTGTGTGAGAGAGAGAGAATGTGTGTGTGTGTGTGTGTGAGAGAGAGAGAATGTGTGTGTGTGTGTGTGTGAGAGAGAGAGAATGTGTGTGTGTGTGTGTGTGAGAGAGAGAGAATGTGTGTGTGTGTGTGTGTGAGAGAGAGAGAATGTGTGTGTGTGTGTGTGTGAGAGAGAGAGAATGTGTGTGTGTGTGTGTGTGAGAGAGAGAGAATGTGTGTGTGTGTGTGTGTGAGAGAGAGAGAATGTGTGTGTGTGTGTGTGTGAGAGAGAGAGAATGTGTGTGTGTGTGTGTGTGAGAGAGAGAGAATGTGTGTGTGTGTGTGTGTGAGAGAGAGAGAATGTGTGTGTGTGTGTGTGTGAGAGAGAGAGAATGTGTGTGTGTGTGTGTGTGAGAGAGAGAGAATGTGTGTGTGTGTGTGTGTGAGAGAGAGAGAATGTGTGTGTGTGTGTGTGTGAGAGAGAGAGAATGTGTGTGTGTGTGTGTGTGAGAGAGAGAGAGAGAGAGAGTGAGTGTGTGTGTGTGTGTGTGTTTCGGTGAGTTTTTATAGTGCTTTATGATTTTGGAGAGGGATATCTTTGAGTCTGGTATACAATTTCAATATTTTACAGTGAAAATAAATGAACAAATTAGTAAGTTAATAAATGATTGCCTTTGTATTTATGATTGCAGAAAGCTATCCAAGTCCACTGACAGATTGTGATGATTATGGAGATTATATTCAGGTATGAGAAGACATGGTTTAATGCATTTTTTGGCTTGTTTATTGTTTTATAATTCACTATCTATCTGATGATCAACAGTGTGGAATAATTAACTGTTTTCAGCATTGATAATAATCAGAAATGTTTGTTGAGCAGCAGATCAGCATATTATACTGATTTCTGAAGATCATGTGACACTGAAGACTGGAGTAATGATGCTGAAAATACAGCTGCACATCACAGAAATACATTACAGTTTAACAGAGATTCACAGAGAAAACAGCTGTTTTACATTAGAATAATATTTCACAATTTTTACAGTATTTTTTATCAAATTAATGCAGCCCTGATGAGCAGAAGAGACTTCTTTCATTAAGATATCCTAATTATTCCAAACTTTAGACCACCGATATTTGTGACCAATACAATACATCGCTTGAGTCAAAATGATCCATTTTTCTTTTATGCCAAAAATCATTAGGATATTAATTAAAGATCATGTTCCATGAAGATATTTTGTAAATGTCCTACCGTAAATATATCAAAACTTAATGTTTGATTAGTAATATGCATTGCTGAGAACTTCATTTGGACAACTTTAAAGATGATTTTCTCAATATTTAGATTTTTTTGCACCCTCAGATTCCAGATTTTCAAATATTGTCCGATCCTAACAAACCATACATCAATGGAGAGATTATTTATTCAGCTTCAGATGCTGTCTTGTGTGTTTCAGGGCTCGTCTCTGTTAAGCTCTCTGTGTGGTGTGGAGTGGAGGAATCAGGATCAGGAGCAGATCCAGAATGTCTTCAAGAGGGTAAGATCTCTCAAACACATGCCACACATCAGTCTGAAGATGTTCTGACAGCGCTGACGTCTCTTCTGCTCTGCAGTTTCTCTTTCACTATTCTAAAGCACACAACTCAGTGGGCTCGGTGGAGAGAGAGGTATGAAGAGCTCCTCTCACTGCATTCTGTCTGTATTGCATGTTATTTATTGCTGATGAGTGAATGTTTGATTTTCAGTCTCACTCGGTTCATCCGCTCATGCGTCTCTCGCCCAGACTCTCTCCGCGCAGGAAGAAACAGCAGGTGTGATTTCCTTCTGTTCCTGTTATTGATCCGTCGTTAAAGGTGTGAAAGCTGGAGGTCAGAACAATATCAAACACAGCCCTGCATCTACACACCAACTCCACTGGTTTGCAAAAAAAAAGAAAGTCAATAAATTAGAGAATCTGATGATGCCGAGTTAAATTTAATTTTAACAACATTTTTTATGGCTTTAGTTTTAGTTAACTATAATTATCAGCCACATCTGTCTCTGATCATAACAAAAATGCGAAGTAAATCAAAATCAGTAAGAAACATGCATTGGGTTGGATTGAGCATTGCCTTTCTCTGATGCCTGATTGCCTTTCAGATAATGTATAAATCTCAATTTTTTTAAATTGACCCTTATTACTGGTTTTGTGCTCCAGGGTCACACATAGTATTTTTCTATCATATCTTATATATAAAGTATGTGTGTGTTTCAGGACACATTTATGAGCACACACACACACACACACACAGACAGACAGACACACACACACACACACACACAGACAGACAC